TGTTCACGCCATTCTCCTGCCTCAGCCCCCCAAGTAGCTAGGACTACAGGCGCCCGCCACCTCGCCCGGCTAGTTTTTTGTACTTTTTAGTAGAGACGGGGTTTCACCGTATTAACCAGGATGGTCTCGATCTCCTGACCTCGTGATCCGCCCGTCTCGGCCTCCCAAAGTGCTGGGATTACAGGCTTGAGCCACTGCGCCTGGCCCATTTATTTTTATTTATTCACTCATTCACTCCTTCCTATATTCTGTTCCATTAATTGTCACCAGTATCACCCCTCCACTTTCTTTCTTATTCTTTTTTTTAGATGGGGTCTCACTCCATGGCCCAGGCTGGAGTGCAATGGCACAATCTTGGCTCACTACAACCTCCTCCTCCTGGGTTCAAGCAATTCTCCTGCCTCAGCCTCCCGAGCAGCTGGGATTACAGGCATGCACCACCACGCCCAGCTAATTTTTGTATTTTAGTAGAGACAGGGTTTCACCATGTTGGCCAGGCTGGTCTCGAATTCCTGACCTCTTGATCTGCCCATCTCGGCCTCCCAAACTGTTGAGATTACAGGCGTGAGCCACAGTGCCCAGCCCTTTCCACTTTCTTTAACCAGGGATCTAACTATTGACTCTAAAACACAAAACAGCTTTTAGGGCTGTTAATTTTCTCTGTGTTTTTCTGTGCTCTCTATTTCATGGATTTCTGCCCTTTCCTTTATTATTTCCTGCCTTATGGATCCTTGGGCTTTCTCCCTTGCTCTTTTTTCCGCCTCTTGAGTTAATTTTTGATGTTTCTTAACACATGTGTTTATAGCTATAAATGTCCTTCTAAGCACTGCTTTAGCTGTGTCGTGCTATTTAGACATATACTGCTTCATAATCACTCAGCCCTAAAGTTCTTTTATTTCTTTTATGATTTTATTTCTAACAAGAGTTTTTATAGCATATTATTTATATAAGCTATTCCTTTACTATTAATTTCCAGTATAATTGCCTTATGCTCTCCACATGCTGTGTTATAGACAGATGTAATCTGTACACATACATCCCTATGTTACAGACTTCACCTGTATACATCCTAGTATTGTACATGTTCTCTGTATGCTTAGAAAGTAACATGTAGAGTTCAAAATATACTAACAACTCAAACTTATTTATTATATTGCTTCAGATATTAATACTCCTGCTTATTTTTTGTTGACCTACTTCTTGGAGGAATGTGTTAAAATCTCCAAACACAACTGCTCATTCATCCACCTTTCCTTGCAATTGTATCAATAGAAGTTCATGGTAACAGCTCCAGCTACAGGCACTAATGTCTGCAGGGTATCACCAGACCACCAAAACAGCACCCCCACTCCTGATGCTTTCATTACTCACTCTTTCCAAACACCTCAGGACGATCTTCAGCCCCCAGCACCGCCTTCTTGTCCTTCATTCCTGAAACCCGTGCCTCCCTTGCTTCTCAGGGCTGGCTCCAGGGCAAAGCTGGAAGGCTGTGCAAGAACCACCTGGCCGAGCACTGGACCCAAAGGTGTCCAACCACAACCAGCTCACTGCTACCAAAAGCGGGGATCCCTGATTTCCCAAAGTCATACACAGAATAGTCTTCAGGGCACATTGTGGACTGAAGCAGGGTGAAATACAGCACTGTGTTACTTCAAACAGATTTCATTTGTCAAGGGTAAGTCTGACTTTGTTATATACACTCTTGGTAAACAAATATGCCAACAAAAGACAGTAACTCACCTTCCCCCATAAGCAGGCTATAAGGTTTAGAGCAGATCCATAGACAGCAAAGGTTCAGACGTATTGAACTCAGAGCATCATAACCACAGCAGGTGATTTACAGAAGGGTTGACTTTTGTCGTGGAGCCCACCGACCTAAAACACAAAAACACAGGGCTGTGTGAGTGCATCAGTGCGGGGCCTGCCCGCCAGCACTGGGCTTCAACAGAACTGCCTCTTGCCTTCAACACAGCAGTCAACACCTCTTCAGCATTCGAGTACAAGGCATGGTGTGAGTGTGGAGACAGAGTGCCAGCAAGCGCTCCCCCGGTGCTCTTCCCCCCAGCACCCCAAATGAGATGGCTCAACCCAAAGGCAGGCTTCTACTTCACAAGTGAGACGTCCACATGAAATGTTTTGATAAAATTGCACTTACTTAGTGTATCTGCTTATATCTACACTGATTTTAAAACAATATTTATTAAATTATACATTAATTTAAATACATGGCTGGTTTTCTAATTTCACTGATAGTGAACAAATTCCATCTAATTTCTTCAATTTCAGCATGGTCTTAGAGGAGAGACTTGGGGAAAAAAAGGCACATTTGAGGTTGGATGTGGTGGCTCATGCCTGTAATCCCAGCACTTTGGGAAGCCAAGACGGGAGGATCACTTAAGGTCAGGAGTTTGAGGCCAGCCTGGGCAACATGGTGAAACCCCCGTCTCTACCAAAATACAAGAAATGAGCCAGGCATGGTGGCGGGCGCCTGTAATCCCAGCTACTCTGGAGGCTGAGGCAGGAGACTTGCTTGAATCCAGGAGGCGGAGGTTGCAGTGAGTTGAGACAGCGCCACTGCACTGCAGCCTGGGTGTGACAGAGTGGGTGTGACAGAGTGGGTGTGACAGAGCGGATGTGACAGAGCGGGTGTGACAGACTGCAGCCTGGGTGTGACAGAGCGAGACTCCGTCTAAAAAAAAAGCACATTTGGAACCTTGGGAGAAAAAGGGAAGGAGGGATGGAAAAGGTAGAAATTCCGTTTCCTACAGAAATAAAAGCACAGCAAGGCATAAGAAGACACAGATTTAATCCATCTCCAAATGAACCATTCAGTTTTTTCTTAAAAAAACCTACGTTTCTGCTGACCAACAAAAAAGGATGCTATTGGACAAACAAACCTAGTAAAGCACCCGTGTCCCTCGGCACGTCCGTTCCCGGCTAGAAACATCTGTTACTGCTAGTGCAGGAAAATCCAAGTGCTTTTAAAATAAATAGAAAAAAGGCATGCAAAATCCTTTTGGGTAAATGATGTTCTCCAGTCGCAGACACTCCTGAAGGCCATCGTGGCTCTGGGAGAGGAAACCAGGGTGTAGGCACTGAAACTCCTTCAGCTAATGGAACTGAGAACTCCCGCCCAGCACCGCAGTCCAAAGTCAAATGGGGAAAAGCTGTGCAGATGTAAGAAACACCAGAAACAAAACACTAAAAATACCAAGAATACAAACGCACAGTTAAAATAAGAAACTGCGAAATGAGAATTAATTTAACCTAAGAAAGAAATTAAAGAGAATGACACAATTAGCCTAGAAATGAGACTAAGTTACAAGGTACCAAAAGAGAGAGATTCAGTTGAGTGTGAGGCAGGAGAAGAGAAGGAGGCAGGGAACAGAAGGCCGATCCATCCAGGCTGACTTCCTAGAACTAAATCAAATGAAAGCTCCTCAGCAATGACAGGGATGTGAACGGCTTTGCAACTGCACTCCATCCTCTCAGTTCACAGCATTTACCCTTTGTAACTTCACATGCAGCCTCTCCATTTACACAGACCACATACTCCAAGTAACATCCTCTCCATTTACATAGGGTGCGTTCTGAGTAAATGACTCTGACTTCAATTCATTCTCTTCATTTTCATAGAATATTCGCCAAGTAACCAGTGGGAAACCTCTAGAGTATTGAAACCCCAGAAAATTCTGTAAGCTCCTGAGCCCCAAGGGTTAGGCTGCTCCCACACCAAAGCATGTACTTTCGTTCTCAATAAAACCCTGCTTTTGCTTTCTTGCTTTGTTTGTGCGTTTTGTCCAATGCTTTGTTCGAGATGCCACCTGGACACCCTCTACCGGTAACGACTGCATAAGGAACACTGCAGGAGGACAGAGAACATGAAAGAGAACATGAGGCCGACCAAGAGGTGAGAGACGTGCAGAGAAGCTGCCAGACACGGAGCCCAGGCCAACAAAGACCCAAGAAACACAGACTGGAGTTCCCAAAAAAGAAAAGCAAAACTACGAAACAGACCTAATACTTACATTCCTAGAAATGTTCTTAGGAAAAAAATAATCGACAAGTTGAAAGGCTCATCATGTACCTGAACAAACTGACCCAGAACGGTGGCCCTGAAGGCACTGCCCAGTAACAATTACAACTGAAAGAAAAAATTCTTTGGGACTCTAGGCAAAAAGACCAGCTCATTCACAAAGGAAAGAAAACCAGACAGGGATCGGACTTCCTGACTGCAATGTACAAGGTAAGTGAACAGTGGAGCAATTATTTTCATAAACTCAAGTAAAAATAAAGTGTGACCAAAGGATTTTATGTCAGCCAAGCTGTCCTTCAAAATTAAAGCTCTAGAGAAATAGTTATAAATAGCTAAGAACTCAATGAACAGTGTGTTTCCAGGCCCTTCATGAGAAACCTACTACAAAAGAATCTCCCTCAAGCCAAGAGACCGCTGGGAAATCTGACATAAACCAAAATAACAAATCTGTTGAGCACAGACTAAAACAGAAAGTGAGGACAAGGATGGAGGTGGGGTACGAAACAGTTTCTTATCGGGGAGCATGCTGTTCTGCAAAAGTAAAAATACAGCAAATAAATCAGAGGTAGATGAATCAGAAAAAAAGGAATGTAGAATAAGCTCATAGACTGAAGCATGAAAAATAGGTGGGAGAAAAGAATCCCACCAGACAAGCCAAAATAAAGAGGTCAGAGGAAGAAAGAGAGGGACCAAGGTGCGATAAGAGGTGTTGTTATAACAGTAGCCAACAGGACAAAACATAGACTTTCCTAAATGCCAAAAACAATAGAAAAAAAAAGGCAAAGACACAAACTACATTAAAAAATAAAAAGACGCACAATAAATAAAACACAACACACACATTAAATACAGGAACAAGTTATGCAGCAGTTGGGACAGGACATACCGGTCCTAGCAACACGTGAGTAAACACGTGCAACACGTGGCCCTATGAAAAGTCTCCACTTGGCTCACAAAGCCAGCTCTGCTTTACACAAGAGACACGACCATTGCCAAGTGATTTGAAAAGGCTAAATATGTCAAGGAATGAGCAGAAGCACGTGAGGTCAATGCACCAGGCTGAAGAGCAGGGGTTGCAATCTGCCTGTCAGACAAGGTCCAGCCTCCCCTCAAAGCAGGAAGCAAGACCAAGAAGGGCACTTCCTGATGCCGGAGGACTCAGTGCACAGTCAAGCCATATGAGTTAAGAATCTACTAGAACCGGCCGGGCGTGGTGGCTCAAGCCTGTAATCCCAGCACTTTGGGAGGCCGAGACGGGCAGATCACAAGGTCAGGAGATCGAGACCATCCTGGCTAACACGGTGAAACCCTGTCTCTACCAAAAAATACAAAAAACTAGCCGGATGAGGTGGTGGGCGCCTGTAGTCCCAGCTACTCGGGAGGCGGAGGCAGGAGAATGGCATAAACCCGGGAGGCGGAGTTTGCAGTGAGCTGAGATTCGGCCACTGCACTCCAGCCTGGGCGACAGGAGAGAAACTCCATCTCAAAGAAAAAAAAAAAGAATCTACTAGAACCCCTCAAACACAGAAACTGGAGGACCCAGCGCACAGTGAGGCCATATGAGTTAAGAATCTACTAGAACCCCCAAACACAGAAGCTGGAGGACCCAGCGCACAGTGAGGCCATGAGTTAAGAATCTACTAGAATCCCCAAACACAGAAGCTGGCTTTATAATGCAGAAACTATAGGTGTTGGGGAAAGAAACAGAAACCTAAGAACAGCAATCATTAACACATGACTGTCAACCATGGCAAGGTAAAGGATCAAAAATAATTAAACATGAAAGAGAGCTAATAACAGGAGGTAGTTCTTGGGGACATTACATCAAACTTTGTACCCCAATAATAGAGATGATACTTTCTTCTTAAACATACTTGAAACATTCATTAAAAAGAAAACTAGCTTGTATTAGGGCACAAAGAAAACCTCAGTAAGTTACATGAAATAGAAATGGCACAGACAGCAGGCAGCAGACAGCAGTCTATGCTAACAATGCAAGACCAGAAAACAGTGAACTTTAACCAAAGGATATTTCCTTGGTAATTTACACCATTTTAGAAACACCTAAGGGGAACTGGTTCATGACGTGTATCTATCAATACAGTTATGGCTATCTCCCTAATAAGTCCCTAAATTGGTAAGGAATACCATGAGACCAGACATTGAGAGAGTGACGAGACAGACTGACACATTCTTGCAGTGACCCGCCTCTTCCAACCTCATGCACACGCCCGGGGGAGCCTGAGAGCAGTTCCCTGATGGAGCTGGACACGAACGAGATGGAATCTCCACGCGGAAATGCTCTGCAGCTCCCTTTTCAGTGGAAAACAGAGCTGTTTAGGAAGGCAAGGAGACGGAGGAGATGAAGGAGGCGTGGGATCCCCTTCCTCACCTCTGGCCTGCTCTGGCTGTGAGACCCTGGGAGTAAAGCAGAGCAATGGCTTTAACATCTTGCTGAACATGCTGAATTGGCTGCCACAACAGATCAGCTTCAAAGGCAAGGACCCCAAGGGTGTCGCATTCCCTCCTGGGCACAGTCCAGACAAAAGCAGTGCACTCAGCTGCAAACTACACACACGCATACACATGGCAAACGCACACACACATGTGTGCACACAGGTGCTAAAGCAGCTCACACACATGCATACACACGGCAAAGGCACACATACATGTGTGCACATGGGTGCTTAAGCAGCTCACACACGGCAAAGACACACACTTACACACATGTGCACACAGGTGCTTAAGCAGCTCACAGCATTATCCAGGCTTTTAAGAAGTGGCTTCAGCTTCACCAGAAGGTTTCAAACCTCAGACAATCACCAGGCAGCATGCTGTC